ACTTACCTGATCTGTAGGCTGTCTCTGCCCCCCCATCCCCCACTTACCTGATCTGTAGGCTGTCTCTGGCTGCATGTGCTGCTCCCCTGCAGTTTCAATCAGCAGAGAGAAACAGGGATAAGATGCAGCTTACTATCCCTGTCTCTCTCCATACACAGCGCCACCTACTGGCCGGCGCCGGTATTGCAGTTCATTTTAAATCTCACACAAAATAGCAGAACAAGCTGAAAAATCCAGGGGGGGGCAAGAGCCCCCCCTTCTCCCCCCTGCGGACGCCCATGCGCCCAGAGCAGGATTCTTGGATGTAGAGGCCAGGCAGAAACAAGTAAACAATAGCCCAATTCTCCCAGAGCAACACCCCCCAGGGGAACATTTCCCTCCCCAGTCCCCTCCTCCATCTGACACTGACATGACTCCCTATCACAACGTAGTGACATAGAGGGGGCCCCGGGAACACCGAGAAAATAAGAAAGATCCCCCTTTCACTCCAATTATCACACTGGGAACTAGCATGCAGGAGGTAGGGACTAGAACATAGGACCTCACAAGACCCACACGACCTTGGGATTTTTCTGCCTAAAGGGACCCGAGGGTGGGAGATGAATCACTTAGATATTATACCAGTATCTGAGAGGTGGCAGGACCGCTCACATAAGAGTGTAATTCGAGGAAAATTCATAGCCATAGGCACAAACAGAGAGAGGGCAAGGTTGGAAAGACTTCGGTCAACCCTGGACCTGATAGCGACACTTGGACCTGAACTGAGACACAAACAATCCCTGGAGGACAGAGACTTCTGAACCCTACTAGAAGCCAGAAAAGATCTGAGGATGCTGCTCTCCCAACAACACCTACACACATTTCAGAAATCTAGAGGATTCGTCTGCAAACACTCCAATAAATGGGGTTGCTTACTGTCGAGAATGTTGAAGAAACGGCAAGATCGCTTCCACATCAAAAAGGGTGTCGACCCCTGCAGACCCTCGGAGCACCCGACGGAGATGGAAGAAGCATTCCATACATATTATACAGCACTATACAACATCGAGGGGACCGTGGAACAGGATGCCAACACGGCCCGTTTAGCCAACATGGAAGAATACCTCTCCACCCATATAAAGAAGCGAATATCAGTGGAGGCACAGGAGCCACAGGACGCGGAAATTATGATGGAAGAATTGAATATGGCAATCAAAACATCAAAAAAAAAGGCAGGGTCCCGGGCCCAGGTGACTTCCCAATTAAATATTACAAGAAATTTGGGGATGTACTCTTGCCACATTTGCTGACATCACTCAACTCCTTATAACAAGGGGGCAGGCTGGGAATGGAGTCTTTCCTTGCGCACATCACCATTCTCCCGAAGGAAGCGAAGGACCCTGAACAATGTGCAAGCTATGGACCCATTTCCTTACTAAACTGTGACTGCAAGCTGCTAGTGAAGATCCTTGCAGCACATATGAAACCAGTCCTACTATCTCTGATTAACCCAGACCAGTGTGGGTTCATCCCTGGGCGAGAAGCAAAAGACAACTCCATTCGCCTTCTGAACATATTGCACTTAGCCACCTCCTAAGGACGTCCCCTGATCATTCTCTCCACAGACGCGGAAAAAGTGTTTGATTGGGTGGACTGGCAATACATGCTCCTCACTCTGCGGACGATGGGTTCGGAGAGACATTCTGCCGATGGATCTGGGCTCTCTACTCCATACCTACAGCTAGGGTGTGAGTGAATGGGGGACTATCATCACCAGTGCGGATCTCCAACGATACACGACAGGGGTGCCCACTCTCACCCCTGCTGTTTGTGCTGACACTGGAGCCATTCTTAGAGGCAGTTAGGTCCAAACCCTCCATACACGGCCTCCGATATGTGGGACTGGAACACAAGATATCCGCATACGCAGACGATTTACTGTTCTACGTGGCACAACCGCAGATCTGGCTCCCGAACAGCATCAGTGAAATTTGAACATATGGCGGTCTCAGCAATTTTAAACAGAACTTTGATAAATTGGAGTCCCTTAATATCCCGGTCCCGACAGGGCAAAGGAGACACTTAGCCAAGAATTTTAGGTTTCGCTGGTGTGAGGACCGTATAAAATATCTGGGAAACTGGATCCCACCCAAGAGACCTCCGACAGCTGTATCAACTCAACTTTCTGCTCTTATTGGCTCGTCTTACAACCAATATGAAATTATGGATGGCCCCACATTTCTCCTGACTGGGGCGTTTGGCATTAAAATGAACGTGCTACCCAGGATACTATATCTGTTATTAAGCAATACCAATTGCCCTCCCACCAACTTACTTCAAATCCATGAACTCAGCATTGGTGTCCTTCATATGGAGAGGTCAATGACTTCGGATGTCACAACTCATGAGACCCAAACAGGAGGGAGGGCTGGGACTGCCGTCACTCCCGGGTTACTACCGGGCGACACACCTGGCAAGGATAGTGGAATGGCAGAATACGAAATCCCAGAAGATCTGTCCCGTACTGGAAAGAGAGACATCCCAGCGAAGGTATGGCTGCCGGACGCTGTGTCCCGGAAACCCAACTCAAAACAACCATTCATAGAGGCAGCGATGAAAACATGGAACCAAATCAGGTTTAAGTTCAATCTTACGGCAATTAGTGGACCTATGTATCCAGTTTCAAGCAATCCAGATTTCTCAGCAGACCAGGGAAAGTGGGCGCTGGACTTCTTTGGCAGGGGCTTCTACATCATACATGCCAAGGGAACAACAACATATTACCCCTGCCAACACAGCACTAGAATCCTTTGCATACCGCCAGCTGCACCACTTCCATGCCTCGGTTGCCAACCGACTACAGTTACAGAGACCCCTACACCCATTCCAGGACATTTGCTCAAAAAAGACAACTCTACACCGTGGCATCTCCGTGCTGTATTCAATACTGACTTCAGGAGACAGCGTGCTTCTCCCTAAATACCAGGCCACGTGGGAAGAGGCGCTCCACACCTCATTTTCCACCCAGGAATGGAAGCATATAACAACATTCACCCACCTAGGCTGCTGCTGTGCAAAATACCAGGAGATAAATGATAAGATCCTCACACACTGGTATGACACACCGCAGAAAATTCATAAATATGCCCCAGAGAAACCTGACTAGTGCTGGAGATTCGGAGCGGAAGGAGGAACTCTCCTTCATATTTTTGGGGAATGTTCCCGCCTGGTCCCTTACTGGAAGAAGATTTTCAAAACCATGACCCAGATGACAGATGAGGGCATAACATTTAACCCGATAGAGATGCTCTTGAATAAATTGAACTTATCAATATCTAAATACAAACAATCTCTCTCAAGGCAGCCAGGACACTAATCCCTCAGCATTGGTGCCAGAAGGAACCCTGACATTCCAGAAATGGCTGGAGAGAGTTGATGAGATACGACATGTGGAAAAGGAAGTTGCCATGATAAGTGGGCGACTGGATCGGTACGAAGAGATCTGGCGAACATGGTATTACTACATAAGCTCCAACCTTCCACAATGTGCCAAGATGTGACAAATGTCATTAACAATATATCCTCAGGAAGTACTAACTCAACCAAGCCTAAGTTTAGAAACAACATAGAAGATAATGTGTTTTCGACTCACAAACCTTCTCTCACTGAATCTGTATACTGTATTCTGTATTTTAAAAAACCAATAAAAAGAGATTGACAAAAAATAATAAATAACTGTATATTAACTTCTTGTTGATCCAAACAAATTTATTTCCCTTCTTTCGATCAATTAAATAAACATATGTATGTAAAGATGAACTTGATTGACCTGAGTTATTTTTGAATTGAGATTGCCATGTTACTATGCTATCAATACATGACTAAAATATTTTAGTTGGAAAAAGCCCAATTGTAGACTTCTTCCAATCCAAGCATTTTGTGCAATTGTACTTCACACTTCACAATAAATCTTGCTTAATGCTTGTGACTAAAGCTGTTGTAAAGGCAAAAATGTAATTCTTTGTTGAGCTAATTTGCATGTGTCCACCCAGAATCCCTTGCAGTAGTAACTCTATCCCTGTGGAAAATTGTAAATGGCTCTTTAGCTGACAAGGCGTGCAGCTTTGATACTCTTCTTCCTGATGTTAATGCCACTAGCAAAACTGTTTTAATAGTGAGCAAATAGATATAGATTCCAGAGGCTCAAAAGGATGGGATTTAAGTACTTTTAAAACTAATGGCAGATCCCATGGAGGAGATAAAGGCTTGATCGGAGGATGGATCTTTAAAGCTGTTGTGAGGAATCTGGCCACATCCACATCAAATGCCCATTTGTGGTTCATGAGGGCTGATAAGGCTGATACATGGACTTCAAGGTGTTGAAATTAAGTCCTTTATCTAAGCCAGATTGCAGGAATTCCAGTATGTCCTTAGTAGTAGGTTTTTAGATATTTCTGCCTTTGGAAGATGCCTAGGAAGAAAACACATCCCAAACTCTATAATATGTGGATGATGTAGAGCACTTTCTTGCTTGCATAAGAGTGTTAATGACTGCTTGAGAGAAACCTTTGTCCTTTAACACCTCCTTTTCAAATTCCTTGCCATCAGGTTGAGGAATGGCGGGTCCGAATGGAGAACAGGATCTTGATGTAGAAGGTCTGGGACTTTTGGAAGCTGTAATGGAGGTTCCTGGCAAAGGCTTATGAGAAGAGGAAACCATGGTCTGCGAGGCCAAAATGGAGCCACTAGGCTGATTACTGTATTTTCTTGTCTTAGCCTCCTCAAAACTGGAAAGATGAGAGGGAAGGGAGGGAATGCATAATCTAGGCTGAATCTCCAACTGCAAGACAGAGCATCTCTTCCTAGAGCTTGAGGGTCTTTACATTTTGTGAAGAATCTGTGGATTTGCCTGTTTTTCCATGTGGCCATGAAATCCACTTGCAGATGACCCCCATCTCTTCACTATTAACTGGAACATGCTCCTTGATAAGCTCCATTCTCCTGTATCTATCTGAAATCTGCTAAGGTAATCTGCTACAGAGTTCTCCCTGTAAGTGTACTGCCCTCAGACCTGTCAGGTGTGTCTGCGTCCAAGACATAAGTTACTTCATTATCATCATCATCATCTGATGACTCCACGTCCCGTTATGATGATTGATATAGGCCACCACTGCAGCGTTGTCTGACCTTATCTTGACCCACTGGAGAAGAATTTGGGAGGAGAAATATTTCACGTCCTCTAGTACCGTCCAAAGTTCCAGGAGACTGAAGGGAGTGTTGGCTGTCTTGAATCTCCATTTTCCTTGAGCATAATTTTCTAGAAAATGGGCTCCGCAGCCCCACTGGCTGGCATTTGTTGTTATTACTGACCAAGTTACTGCTCCCAGTGGAAACCATATGGAGAGGGTGTCTTTCCTTTACCACCAGTTTAGGTATTGATGAACGTCTGATGGAACTTTGATTGCTTGATGAAGATTTCCTGATGTAAACTGGTGAAGGAAATTGGACTGAAATATCCTCATTCTCCACTGGGCCCACCTTGTCAGTCCTATGGTGGAGGACACTGAGCCTAGAAGACTCATGGCTTTCCTTGCTGTAGTCACTCTGTGTCAGGGTTTCTTTGCAGTTTTAAACAGCAACCCTTCCTTTCTCTTTGTCTGAGCTTTCAGCTGATTTTAACAATCAGCTCCTTCATTAATGATGCCACGGTTACTCATCTGATTGTAGTAACCAGCCCTGATGCTAATCAGTTCAGCCTATTTAAGCAGCAAAACCCAGTACCTCCTTGCCCTTGCGTGGTTTCCTGTTTCCCAGAAGACTTCCTTTTTCCTGTGTGTTCCTGGTTCCTGACTTCTGGTCTTGTTCCTGACTACGCTGCTCTCCGTTCTCCTGATCCTGGCTCATCTGGCTACCCGCTTTGGTGCCTGACACCTGCTTGCCTACTGGACTTTGCTTTTGGTTTAGGTAATTATATGCTATTTATAATAAAGGTGTTTTGCATCTACGTTCTGTCTCTGTCTGGTTCCTGGCCCCTAACACTGTGTGCCAACATCTCTTTTACTTTTTTTGTCAGTCTGCAAATTCTTTCTTGTGACAGCTGGACCTTCCCTCTGGATGTATTGAATAGAGCTCCTATGTAGACCATCGTCTGAGTATGGGAAAGATGACTCTTTTGAAGTTTATCTTCCATCTATGTTTTTTGTGAAACTTGAGACAGATCTGTCCATGAAAAGCTAGGGTCTCTTTGTTTTCTGCTACTATGAGGATATCATCCAAATAATGGTATATGGATATCCCCTGCTTCCTCAGGTCTGCGATCAGTACCACTAGGATCTTTGTAAATATCCTTGGACCCATGCTTAGGCCAAAGGGGAGGGCCCTGAACTGGAAATGACCCTGCTCCACCGCAAATCTTAGATATTTTTGATGTTGAGGTGCAATGGGAATGTGAAAATAAGCGTTGAAAAAGTCTATTGACATTATCAGGAACACTGCCTATATGATAGATGAAAGGGATTCCATCTTGAATTTCCTGATCTTTAGGTAGAGTTTCAGTCTGTGTAGCTCTAGTATATGTCTCCATCACCCTGAAGCTTTCTTTGTTAGAAAAAGATGTCAGTAGAAATCATGAGTCTTTTCTGGATCTGGAACTTGAACTATCACTCCTTTTCTTTGGAGGGAGCAAATAAATTCCTGAAAGGCCACTTTCTTTTCTTTGTCTCCTGGCCATCTTTTAATTTGGAATGAATGCAGCGGAGGTTTTTGGAAGAACTCTAGAAAGTATTCTTTCTGGATGACGTCTAAAACCCACTTGTCATGTATAGAGACTTCCTGTGCCCCTATTCCTCCGGACCTTCCTCCTCTGAAACCAGATTGACCACTCCTCCAGGATTCTCTTCCTGGTCTGTATGCTCTGTTGTTGCGAAATGAATAATTTTCTGAGGGATCTTGTAGCATGAAAAGGAGGCTTGGTTTTACGATCTTGTGGTAAGAATGCTCTTCTACCTTCCGCTGCTCTTTTAATACAGTCATCTTGGTTCTTGCCAAATAGCATATCCCCATGAAACAGAAACACAAATTGTTCTTGGAGGAGGAATCCGCTGACTAGGATCTGAGCCAAAGGGATCTTCTAGCAGCCAAGGAAAGAATCATATTTCTGGATAATGCTCTCAATATATCCACTGCAGCTTTTGAAGAAAAATCCAAAGCCAACTTCATGTCTTTAAGGTTCTCAATCAGAGAAGATCTGCTCCTGCCCTTTCTGATATCCTCCTCCAGGTTCTCCATCCTGTAACAGAATTTATCTTGATTCCAAGGCTCAAGCTTATAGGTATCATATAATGATATCCTATATTAAAATTGGCTAACTTGGACTCAGGAAATGCTTGATGCTTAACACGACACTTAAGACCATATATGTCTAGTTCCAGGAGCAGAGAGCCCCCACCTGAAATATCTCTTCTCTAATCTTTTTGTTCTTTCTCACCTTGGAACTTATTTGTTATGTGTACATGATGTTCATCCCTATGTCTTATCTGTACTTACATTCCTATTACTGTTCTAAGAGTATTTGCACGTAAGCACTTACTTTTTAATGTATAAAACCCAGCTGATGAATAAAACGTCAGAGGCTTATTTTGAA